TTTATGAACATTGTTGAACATTTTTAACATTATTTCTATAAATAATTTTGATTACTATTATAGGGGAGACTGGGGGAGACACTTGTAATGGAGGTTAGTTATAATGTGTATATCTTTAAATGATAAGAGATAAGATGATCATATAAAGAAAAGTAATCGGTATCGAGGCCTGCGTTTGCTTCATGATATCAATCGCACGTGCGTCGCATGTAAAAGAAGTTATATAATGTAGGATATTTAGATAAGCTATGTAAGTGTAAATTCATGTTATACTTTTTTGCTTTAAACTTTCAAATAAAATGTTCATGTTTTTATCATGTTTTCATTTTATTAATTCTAAAATATGTTTTCTCAATAAATTATGTGCATGTTTTTTAAAATTTCAAATAATATTTTTACAACACATCGATTTGAAGTTAAAAGTACCACATCGCCAGGGTACATTGAATTGAAGAAAAAAGTGTCCCTCTGTTTCGTGAACCGAAATATTTTAAGTTAACGACTATTCAGGTTAGGAAATCTATCATAGTCACGAATTACTGCGATGCAAACACGTGCTGAGTACAGATAATTTATTTTTAAAGCAGTGAATTTCTGTTTTAGAGTAGATAATTTATTTTTAGAACACGTTACAATTTTCCCCAGCTCTGTTTCATTTTACCCCAAATCGGAACAAGATGTACTAATTCGGATTTTGATATTTTATTCGTAAATCTAAAATTACACCTTTTTGCAAATAGTACCATAAAGCTAAATAGTTGTTGCGTCATGTGCATTAAAAAAATAACATATATATCATACATAAAGAAATATGTGTATATTTTTAAAAATTGTTACAATTGTCTCCAGTATCTCCCCTATTAATAAAATCTAAAGCATAACAAAAAAATAAAAATGTAACAAAAAACTTATAATAATAAAAAATAATAATTTTACTATAATTTAATAAAATCCTACAATAATTTATACTTACATATAAGTTAGCAATATATTGCAACTGCCTCTTCTAAATTACAAAATTTAAATTATATAAATTCATTAAATACATATTACACGGAGTATTTGCAACATTTGATTCAATTATCACTTTAATCAGCAGAATTAAACTGTCATAATTATGCAATAATGCTCGAACAGTGAATATCTCCAGCGTTTGTGTCTCCCGTTATTTTACTCAACTCGGTGACTTCGATGCCCGGTCACGCTATCGTCAAGTGAACAGACAAACGCAATCGACGCATGAGAGATTGATAGACACACGAATACTTAAAACACAACAGTCATGAAAGAGAAAGAACAAATATTATCATGATGTTCTTTGCAATTGGTAACTATCTTCTATAA